GCCCACATCTGGGCTTCATGTGGCCAGGGACATGGACAGAGGAGACCTGCGCCCACATCTGGGCTCCACACACTAGGAGCAGGTCTTGCCTTTCTCCCTGCTGACAGCTTGCTTCAGAGGGCTCTTGCAAGCACAGGGGTGAAGACATTCCCTCGTGTGGTTCTCACTGCGACACAGGGTGGTCCTCCAGGACCCTCAGTCTGCCTTCTAGAGAAACAGTATTTACTGAACCACCAAAGGAAAAGTAGCATCCTGGTGCCACAAGCTCACAGCTCTTCTCACACCCAGCCCTGCCCAGTGCGTGTGTGTGTGTGGGTGTTTAGTCTGAGGTTTCGTCCACAGGAACTCAGAGGTCTAAGACAGGGGATGAAGGCCTGAATTCCCTTCAGCCAACCTGAATTCCTTCAGCCAACCTGAATTCCATTGAGATTTAACTTTTAAGGTATAAGAGTAAAGAGAATTCTCCACCCGTAATAAATTACAATTAAGAGCCCTTAGATTAGTGATAAAGACCTTAAAGACTTAGGATACGTCTGCTAATATACACAGAGTTTGGTACTGTTCACATCAGTAAAGCTTTAAAATAAAGTATGCTTTAAAGGATGTAAATTTAAAGACAGTGCTTTCATTTTAAAGATGTCCAAACACAACTTAACATTTAAGGCACCATGGCTCAGCTTCATGGGTGGTGGCAGAGCAATCTACAGGGTGGCCCTAAAGTCACCACACACAGGCAAAATGGGAAGCCCTGGCTAAACGCACTCTTAGTGACTAAATATTCATTACAGACTGTTTGCAAAATACTCTCTACACATTGGACATTTCTTTGTAAAATTCTGTGATTTACATAACTTTATTTTAAACTTTCTGACAGCATATGAGCTTCTTTTGAGTTTATTATGCACATCTTCTCATAAACTATGCAATGCTGAGTGCTGAAGGGTGCTGGCTTTCTAGGAAGGTGTGACTCCATGCTGGCTCAGGAAAGGCCTGGCTGTGAGAGAGCAGGGCTCATGAGTCCTCTAAGGGCAGGAGCCTAGGCTGACCAGAGTAACACTCACCAGACTGCTGGCAGGCAGAGGCAACACAGTGTATAATAAATACAGCTTAGTGAAAAGGGGAAGGAGAAGACTCGAGGGCTTCCGTGGCTGAAAGTGCCCTCCCTGCAGTGTGAGGGTCCAAACGCAGGTCCACAGAGCCCAGGATCTGCCTGCTGACCTGTGAGGTGTTTCTGTGGTGGGAATATCCTTCGTGAAGACTAGAGCCCAGGGGACAGACCTGATCTGTCCCGAGGTGTTTCCATGGTGTGAAAACACTTCCCAAGGTCGACTGAGACCAGGACCTGCCTGCCGACCTGTGAGGTGTTTCCATGGCGTGAAGACACTTCCCGCCTGTCAACCTGATGTATTTCCACGGTGTAAAGATTCTTCCTAAGGTCTACAGAACCAAGGAAATGATCAGTTCAATACTAAGGTATTTCCGCAGTGTCAATATCTTTTATGAGGACTACAGAGCGAGGACCTTACATCTCTACCTTTGAGGTTATTTCCATGGTAGGAAAACCCTTCCTGTGTTCTACATAGCCCAGGAGCTGGTCTGTCCACCTCTGATGAGTTTCTAGGGTGTAAAGACCCTACCCAAGATCTAAAAAGCTGGACCTTGTGTGTACACCTCTGAGGAGTTTCGATGGTATGAAGACCCTTCTTGAGGTCGAAGAACCTACAACCTGATCTGTCCACCTGTAGGAGTTCCTACGGTATGAATACTCTTCCCAAGTTCTACAAAGCACAGGACCTGATCTGTCTACTTCTGAGGAGTTTCATGGTGTGAAGACCCTTCCTAAGGTCTACAGAGCCCAGGAACTGGCCAGTCCACCTTTGAGGGATCTTGGAGCACTGTCCTTACTTCTCTGTATTTTGAGAAATTTTGAAAATATGTAAGTATAACAAGCCCATAGCTAATATCATACTGAATGGAGTAAAACTGAAAGCTTTTCCACTTAGAACTAGAACCAAACAAGAATGTCCACTATCACCACTACTATCCAATGTGGTGCTGGAGGTTCTAGCCAATGCAATCAGGCAAGAGAAAGATAAACAGCATCCAATTGGGGACAGAAGAGGTTGAACTCTCGCTCTTTGCTGATGATATGATCTTATATTTAGAAAACCCCAGAGACTCAACCACAAGATTCCTGGAAATGATCAGGAAATACAGCAACATCTCAGGGTATAAAATCAGTGTCCACAAATTAGTAGCCTTTGTATATAACATTAATAGCCAAGTTGAGAAACTAATCAGAGACATAATTAGAGATACTATCAGAGACATAATTCTCTTCCCAGGGAATGAAACTTCTAAAACTTAGGATACACCTAACAAAAGAGGTTAAGGACCTCTATAAAGAGAATTATGAAACCCTGAGAAAAGAAATAGCAGAACACATTTACAAATGGAAGAACATACCATGCCCTTGGCTGGGAAGAATCAACATTGTTACAACGTCTACACAACAAAGCACCCTACAGATTCAGTGGAAAACCCATTAAAACACCACATCATATTTTGAAGAACTGAAAAAATACTTCTTTGTTTTGTATGGAACAAGAAAAAACACTGTATAGCCAAGGCAACTTTTACTAGTAAAAACAAAGCTGAAGGCATCACTCTACCAGATCTCAGGTTATA